CTGATTCCAGGGCTGGTGCAGGATAGGTGCAAGATAAGCCTGGAAATCTCCTCTATACCAGAAAGTAAGAACATACTCAAAATAGGGATAGTGGTGTATCAAAATATCATAGGTGAGAAATTCTAAACCATTGGAAAAACCAGAGTTCATCATTCTATGCAGATAATACATAAATACATTCTATTGCTTACAGTAGAATGCCAAGGGTCCATTGGCAAGAATGGAGGCAGTGCTGGAGTTGGAAATGCATCATTGTGCAATCTCGTGTTAATGATTGGATGAGCCAAGAATCATCAATGGGTGCTACATCTAGGGAGAGACCGATGAGGAGCAGGGTACTGCATGGTTTTAAAATATCTCCCCATAGACCACTTGCTAGTTCCAAGGCAGAAAAAAAAAATCATCCTATAATGGAGAAATCAGACACTGCCTGGACTGAAAGATCAAAATTAACATCACCAATGAGGGCCTCCTGATGATGACCTGAGAAGAACCAAGAGGGCTTATGCAGGGTTCTGGCCAAGAATACAAAACCTAGATCTAATCATGAGGAAACATCAGACAAATTCAACATGAGGGAATATACTGTATTACAAATAAGTGGGGGCATTGTATTCTTCAAAGATGTCCATGTCATAAAAAACAAAGAAAGGCTGTGAAAAGGTTCCAGATTAAAGGAGATAAAGAGACACAACTAAATGCCATATCCGACCCTAGATGAGATCTACTGGAGGGAGAAATGCTGGGGAGAACATTATGAAGTTAACTGACAAAATAGGGATACAAAGGATAGATTAGATAAAAGTGTTGTATAAATGTTAAATGTATTGCTCAACCATGCTATGATTATGTCAGAGAATATGCCTATCCTTGGGAAGCACATGCTGAAGTATGAACTTACCCTCAGATGGTTCAGGAAGAACACGTGTGTGTGTGTGTGTGTGTGTAAGAGAGAACACAAATGATTAAGCAAGTGCTGTAAAATGCGAACAGCAGGTAAATCTGAGATATGAGAATATAAGGATATTCTTTGGATTATTTTTATGTTTGCAGTTTCTCTGTAATTTAAAAATTTTCCCAAATAAAAAATGTAAATGTATGTTCCAATATTTGAAAGATGTTCTCTTATTTGTAGGAGTGGACTCTCCTCAGCCAGGGGACTGCCAGCAGGCAGCCAGGCCAGGGAGGAGTTCCTAATCAAACCCATCTGGGTTCAGTGTGTGGCCTTGGAGAAGTGACTTGACCTCTCGCGTCTCTGCACCCTCCTCTGGGGCCATGCCCACCTCATGCTCTTGGAACAACGAAAAGAGATGATGCCTGCAAGTACTTGGCCCAGGCCCCCCATAGTGTGGGCTGGACATCTACGGGAGCTATGACTTCACTGGCGGTGTTTTCATCAGCATAAACCCCTTTAGGGCACACAGCTGAGAGCTGTCTACATTTCCAAGAGCCACTTCTGGTCTGGAGCAGGACCGTGAGCCAAGAACAAGCAGCACCTGCTGGAGGGTGGCTTCCACCAGCAAAGTGGCCCCCTCACCCTCCTGTTTCACCCTCAGGCCTCAGCTTCTAGAACTCAGGTGTCCTCATCTGCAAAAGCCTTTCCTTTTGGCTGGCACTTCTTCAAGGCCCCCTCCTGGTGACTCCTGTGGCACCTTGCTAGAACTATTCTAGTCCCCTCCTTCAGCTCCTCCTCTCTGGGTAAGGGACCCGAGGTGGCATTTCAGTGTGAATTCATTTATGGCCCCATTTTTCCTCTTCCAGGGAAACTTTTTGTGACAGTGCCATCATTCTTGTGTTCCTGGCAAAAGGAACTATAATCCCTGGTCAACAGGAAGGTGTGTGCATGTGTGTGTATACACGTGTGTGTGTTTGTATGTGTGTCTGTGAGCTGTGGACTTTCTTGGAGGCCATGACATCAGCCCTTAGGCCAGGCCTGGCGTGTTGAGAACTTGGGTCCACCTTGGGGCCAAGGCCTGTGCTTGCCCCTCCCACCCCACTCCGCTCTTCTTTTGCCCCGGGAGGCCGACCCCTGCAGACACAGCAGTGGGCTCCCTTGCCTTTGGCCTTGTGTCAGCTCAGCCTGTAGGGCCCTAAGTGGAGAATGGAGGAAGGGAGTTTGGGGTTTGGGGTTGGGGTGTTTAATGCCTTGTATCCCTTTCTTCAGGGAGGCCTCAGACTGGCTGTATCCTTGGACCAGAGGTCACAGCCCCGGTAAGGTGGCCCCTCCACCCCACCCTCACTGTCTGCTTCCAGCAGCCCCTCCCTCTCCTTGCCCCTTTAGTGCCTCCGGGTGTAACAGCTCCCTGGTGTTCACAGCCCTGGGGTACTGCACTGGGTCTTGAGAGTTCCCTGCACCTGGCACTGGCCTTTGAACTCAACTCTCCAAATTGTCTACAAACTGGAGTTTGCCACCTGTTTCCTGCCAGGCTCCTGACTCATGCGGACCCCTGTGGAGGGAGGCAGTGCCCTCTCCCTTAAATGTATTTGGTACTTGTCTGCCCGGGAGGCCCCACATTGCCATGCTCAAGGAGGTCATCTCAGGGAGGGCATCTGCCGCAAAGCCATTCACACTGCAGAACAAAAGCAAGGGCTGCCACGTCGGGCCTCTTCTGCCTGCTGCTTCTTGTTCCAACTTCATTTCATCCTTTCATAAGTTACTGTTCTGTGAGAAGCATTACAAGAAGGAAATTAAAAGAGAGAAAAGTTGGTGGAGGAATGCCTTTCTTTCTTTTTTTTGGTTTAAACCTTTTGTTATGATCTCTTTAGGAGCCTGATCCAACTAGAGGGACATGTGGCAGAATATGTTCTTCAAAATTAGTTCTGAGAGACACTTGGGGCTCTTTATTATTCATTCTATTAAAATAAAAATATTAGCTGATGCCTGTCGCATCGTCAGAGCGGGTCTGGCAACTTCTCTGATGCATTGTCTACTTGAAAGTAAAGACGAAGGCCTTTCATGTGGAAGCCTCTATCGGGTCCATTCTGTTCTCCTGCTTGCAATGACAGAAAAACCCTGGCCTGCTCTGTGTCTGAGACGCTGACAGATCCAGGGCAAAGCAGTGGAGCCCATCATGTGTCCCATTGTGCCAGGGCCCTCTGGGCAAGGCTGCCTCTTCCGGGGCCCTACCTTTCCCCCACCAAGGGTGGCCATGGAGCAGCAGGAAGACCCCTCCTTGTCCTACGAGTGTGGCTTCTCATACCCATTGATTTTGAAGTGGGTGGAGGGAACAATGCCAGGGACCACTAGGCTTAAAGATCAAACTGCCTTGCCATTTCCTTGGATGCCCTCTGCTGCCTTTACCTCTGGAAGAAATACCACAATGCAGATAATTCCATTTCTCCAGCAGGAACAAACCAATCTGGCTGTGGTGCTCTGCTCTAGAGCCACCCAGAGGTTGTCCTGGTGATGTCTTCAATTGGGGCCCTAGGTAAATAGAGAAGTTCTTAGCTCAACAGAGGCTTGTCTTTTCTGAGGACAGTGGGTGGGACCAGAGTCCCCAACCAATAAGGGATCCTGAATGGCTGAGCAAGGCTTGTGCCTGGTGGCTGAATTACACAGCAGATGAATGCATGTCACTTGGGGGCCTTCCAGCCAGCTGTGGAGAAAGACTCTCCTACGCTGGATGTGGGGAATGTGGGTGCTGCAGGTGGTCAAGGAGGCAGAGATTCCTGGGGGCTGGGTGGGCTTCCCAGGGCTGGTGGGATTGGACAGGTAGTTAAGCACCGGGAAGGAGAGAGAAAAGGGAAGAGCCAGGAGGAATGTGAGTGACAAGCTTGGAAGCCAGGGTGGGAGACCATCTCGGGAGGGACAGGAAAGGAGCATCTGTTGGGGGAGTGGTCAGAAGTCAGGCTGGAATGCCCTCGACTGCAAGGAAGATATTTCTCTCTCCTTCCTTCCTTCCCTCCTGCCTGCCTGCCTGCCTGCCTGCCTGCAAGGAAGATATTCCTCCCTCCCTCCCTTCCTTCCCTTCCTTGGGGGAGTGGTCAGAAGTCAGGCTGGAATGCCCTTGACTGCAAGGAAGATATTTCTCCTTCCTTTCCTTTCCTTTCCTTTCTCCTTCCTTCCTTCCTTCCTTCCCTGCAAGGAAGACATTCCTCCCTCCCTCCCCTCTTCTTTCCTTCCATGCCCCAAGGAAGGATATGATTCTCCTTCCTCTCCTCCTGCCCAAAGGGAAGATATTTCCCCTTTTCGCTTCCTCTCCCTTCCTTCCTTTCTTCCTTTCTTCCTCCTTTCTTCCTTCTTCCTTCTTCCTCCCTCCCTCTCCCTTCCCTTACTCTTCCTTCCTCTCCCTGCAAGGAGCACTATTTTCCGTCGCCTGCTGGCCCTTGCGCTGCCTGCTGCCTGCCTGCAAGGAAGATATTTCCTTCCCTCCCTTCCCTTCCTTCCCTTCCTTGGGGGGAGTGTGTCAGAAGTCAGCTGCGAATGCCTTGATCTGCAAGGAGATATCTCCTCCCCTCCTCCCTTCCTTCCCTTCCCTTGCCATAGGGAAGATATGTTCTCCTTCCTTACCTTTCCTTCCTGCAAAGGGAAGATATTTTCCCCTTCTCTTCCTTCCTTTCCTTCCTTCCATGCCTTCCTTCCTTCCTTCCTTCCTTCCGCGCGTGTCCCCCCTCCTTCCTTCTTTCCTCCCTCTCTCCTCCTCCCTTCCTCCCTTCCCTCCTCTCCCTCCTCCCCCTCCCTCCTCCCTCTTCTCGTTTCCTTCCTTCCCTGCACAAGGAAGATACTTTCCCCTTCCTTCCCCTTCCTTCCTTCCTTCCTTCCCTTCCTTCCTTCCTCTTCCTCTCTTCCTTCCTTCCTCCCTTCGCCTCCTCCTTCTCCTTCCTTCCTTCCTCCTTCCTCCTTCCTTCCCTTCCTTCCATTTCCGTGGGGACAATCTTAAATTCGTATGTAATTCTCCCTGACCTTATTGTGATTATATTAATGTTTGATTTCCCCAGCACACCTGTTCATATTTCAGATGGAAATATATTATAAAATCACGCCATTCGCTGGTGATTACCATGGTAATCAGGCACGCTCAATGACAGGCCAGCACTCCTCTTGAAGACAAGGGTCTGGAGATAGAAGCTTTCACGTCACTTATGCCATGCCTGGGGAGAGAGGGAAATGAAGCAGGCATGGGTGGTGTTTGGGAGGGATGGTTTCCTTCTCTGGGGAAGTCTTGGCAGACAGCACAGCCCCAAGGGCCCAGGAGGGCTCTGCAGGGTGATGGGGGTGGGCCAGACGAAGGCAAGTAAGTGGGAGGGCAAGGCCCGCATACTTTGGTGTTCTACAGAGTATATACAGCTAGCAACACTTTTACAGGATCCATGGCAAGAGATCTGAGCTACCAGGATCAGGTATCTTAGTCAGAATATCATTCAACCTCCCACCAGGTATAGGAACAATCTCTACAGCCTCCTAGAACATCACAAAGATATAATTATTATTACTGCTTCTCTCTATAATAGGATTATGGTTTAGGGTCTGATGAAAGCCCAGGTTGTTTGGATGGTATTATTTAGTCCTGATGCAGTTCATTTTAAGTTTTCTAACCAGATTGCTTGGCTTCAGATTCCAATTCTAGCACTTACTGGCTGTGTGACCTTGGACAAGTTACTTAACCTCTCTGTTACTTTTCACTTGTAAAAAGCAGATAGTATAAGTTTCTAATGCATAGGACTGTTGTGAGGATTGTTAATTAATAAACATAAAATGGTTGAAATACTGCCTGTTACAGAGTAGTTGCTTCGAAAGGTAAGTCACTGAGATCCTTGAGTCACCCCTTTATTTTCATAGAAGAGGGAACTGAGGCCAAGCCATGGGGCAAGCAGGTAACGAGGACTGGACTGGACTGCACTCTGAGCTAATGCTGTTTATATGACACTCTATCCCCTTGCTCTCTAAGGCTAAGGAAAATTTCCATGGAGGAGTGCTGTAAGCTGAGCAGTGCATAAGAAAAGAGCGTGGGAATCAGCATTTTACCACGTGGCAGACCTGCCTGGGCTGTAGCAGAGCCTCTCCACTCAGTGGACGAGGGACAGGAAGGATCAAAGGTACAGCCAGTGTCCTGGGCTTTGCACAAACATTGCCTCACCTCCTTCTCCTGATACCCCCATGTTATCCTTTCTGAACAAAGAGGCGACTGAGGCCCCGAGAGCCCAAAGCTGCATGACAATGATGGCAAATCAGGACTGGAACCCAGACCCCCTGCCTCCCCACCCACAGCTCTTTCAGCTCCCTTCCCAAATATATCGGCTTGTTGGCCTCTAGCTGTCCTGTCTGCTACCCAAAACTAGGACCTGGTCCACCTTCTCAAGCCCAGTCACCCCCTTACTCCCACTGAAGCCCTGGAATCTTAGGCCTAGTAGGGGTTGCAGGTTCCAAAGTACTCACATCCTTAAAGGACATAAACATCTGTAGGCTTCAGCCACCCCCACAATTGCCTATGCATGTTAGATGTGCCTAATAAAAACAACCACTACAGTAGCTGCATTTATTGCTTACTCTGTTTTAGGGTCTATGCTACCTTCTCCTTTTAATATGATGATATTTGCCATTAATTGAATTATTTTACATTGCACCAGACATGGTATAACCCAAACCAGGCCAGGAGCTGTGGGCTCTGTATTACAGAGCCCACCCCACCAGAGGCAGCTGACAGGCCATTATTCTGTGTCCTGCAAACTCTGTGCAGTGATAAGGAAACTCCACCAATTTGATGCTTTATCTGGTTGCAGGTTGAGGAAAGATATTATTTCAATCAAGATAATGATTCTATTTCTTGAACGGAAATGAGATTTTTTTTTTCATTGCCTCATGGGGGTGCCACCAAAATCTGTCTTGGGCTGGAACAGGTCATGAACAAGTTAGAGGATTTTCTTGTAACCTGAGAGAGAGTGTAAACATGAAGGAGAACTGAAAGAAGGGAGCTTGCTTGCAAGAGAAAAACGTATCTGCCAGGCCTACACGATTACAAAATAAGCTCAATTTGGAAAATGTATACAAGCATTGAACAGAGCCTTCAAGACCAAACTTCAGAAGATAAGTGCCCAGTGTGAGCCCCACAGCCTGGAATTCAAGTGAGGTAAATGGCCTTTAAAGGCCATGATGATACCAAAGATGCACAGAAGAGACTCAGCTGTGACAGGACCTTAGACGTCTTCTAAGCCTGCTGTCAGGCAGTGTGGATCAGCTGTGTAACTGTGCTGACAGATGACCTAGCTCCTGTTTCAGCCGCTTCTACCAGAGGGGGCTTACCACCAAAAGAACCCATTCCCTCTTGGACCAGATCCTATGTTGAGAAAGTACCTCCAAATTATAGTCAAGTCACTTCATAAAAGGAAACCACAGTGAAAATTCACATGGTGCTGACAATGCAGGAAATCGAAATGCACTTTGGAAACAGAATACATGACATGCAAATGGCATCAGATGATAAATGCAGGGAGACCTCAATAATTTGCACTAAATAGTGAAGTTAGTGAAATTTTAAATTATTTTAAATATTTGGGGATTCCAGGGGCTGTCACACAGTATCTCAAATAATTTGCTTTAAATAAGAATTTAAATTGTATGTATAATTTGCTTTAAATAATTATTATTTGCAATTAGAAATAAAAATAATTTATTATTTGCAATTAGAAGTAAAAGTAATTTACAATTCCTGTATCAATTGTTTATATAGTAACTCTAAAGAGTTTGAAAACGTTTGTGAAGTTCTTATGCATTTTAAACGTTCCACTGAGAGCTGAATCAGGCTATTAATTGCTCCCTCTCCAAAGAAAAGGCCTATTTCAGTTCAATCCCTTCTGGAATAACCCCTACTGCTGACTCTAAAGACCCAAGAAGGTGGCACCTTTCTATACTGCATCAGATTCACCAAAATTTTGGAATCTAAACCACAATGTTGTTGGGTGCAGACTATCATCGGAAAGTAACACAAAACTCTGGCAATATTGGTTGTCTCTAGGATAGAAGCCTGCTTGAGGCCAGAGGTAGAGAGGAGACTTTTTACAATATACCTTCTGGTACTTTTGAATTTAGAGCCATGAGACGATAGTGTCTATTAAGAATAAAATTCCAGTTAAAAAAGCACACGCTATTTTCAGTTAAAAAAAACAGACTTCGGTATTGATTTCTATTTTAATACTTATACTCCCAAAATACAACCTTACTGCAATGAAAATTACTGCCAGGTCAGTGAAAATGACATGTGGCTGTCTTGACAATAGTGGTGCTTGCAGGCATGAGAATAAAAGCAACTGATGCTCTGTCCAGGTCTCTGTACGTGCTGGGGGTGACCAGTCCCCAGCTGCTAAGTGTGGCACACAGCTTTCACTCATGACATTCTTGGATCCTTACTCTTGGTTAAGGTGATGCTTTGGAGGCTGCACCACCAGCTATACTCTGGGGGCAGCTGCTGACAAACAAGGGGACACACAGGCCCCGCCCCCTGCCTCCAAGTCAGACATCACTGTAGTGCAGTTGACGTGGACCAGACCCAGGGAGACCTGCCCTGAGACCACATTCTCACTCAGCTCTTGCTTCTTTATCCAGCTTCCCTCTCCCCTTGACAAGCGTTTCCTAAGAGCTCTCCCTAGATGCATCACATCCCACTGAAACCTGACTCAGGCTCTGCTTCTAGGAAGCCCAACCTAAGTCAGTCACCAGTGGCTCAAAATGAAGCCCTCCAGCATCTTTTCAGAGGGTGGTCCCAGGAGTTGGAAGCACACATGAGCCTTCCTCCTTGAAGGCAGCACCATAACCACCTTCCTGCCTCGCCGAAGACCACCAGTCTGACATTACACAGCCCACGAAAGCCAGCAACAGCAAAACACGAACATCCAGAACAGAGAGAGTTCCGACAACCGGACCCCGTGGGGCAGCACAACAATTACTCTTCTTCCTCAGGATGAATAAGCAGGAGGCAAGGGCTGAGCCAAAAGGGCCTGTTGCATAATCAGAGCGACGTCCAGTTATGTGCAGTGGAAAGTCAGTGTGGACGTCTTAGGCAGCTCTACCACTTACTAGCAGAGCAAACTAGAGCAAATATTGAACGATTCTGAGCCTCAGTTTCTTCATCTGCAAAACGGGAATACTGGACAGAGCCTTTGTAAAACACCTATGAGGCAGTACCATCAAATGTGCTGTGAACTGGTCATGCAATGTGAATACTGGCTGTTGTTATGGAGATTTAGAACTAGCTACCTTCTCCTGCTTGCTTGGGACAAATATTAATTAATCATCATTAAATAAATAAATCCCAGCACAGTACCTAGAGCTCCCTGTGTGAGAAGCAGTTCTGGGGAAAAGCAAGCGGACAATTGGGAGTGCTGTATTGGTGACTGTCCACCAGGAGCTCAGGATGTGGTCCCATTAGTGGCCTCACAGGGCTCTGGTGGCCCTTGGCTGCAGCTGTCTGGAGAAGTTTCTCTCTCTCTCTCTCTCTCCCTGTGTGTGTGTGTGTGTGTCTTATTCTCTCTCTCTCTCTCTCTGAGACAAAGGGAATATCTTCAATGTAGATTTCCTGTAATCCACTCAGTGTATAGACTGATCTCCAGTAGAACCTCAAGTTTGTGAAAAATTTATGCAGTCATTTTCATGTCATAGAGTGGCCGAGAAACTGGCAGAAACTAAATTTTATTCACATAGGTGAAGAATCCTTTATTCCATCCTGATTCTTTGCATCTAGACCATTCCTGAAGCCATGCCAAGCCCTCCAGCACCCGGCCCTGTCCAACCTCACCAGCATCTTCTCCCCTCTCACCCTCAGACCCATGCCTACGCCATCCTCCACGCAGGCATCCACCCATTCCTTCTATGGCCTCCCTCCTCCATCAGTCCAGTTCAAGCCTCTCCTTCTCCAGGAAGTCTTCCCTAACCATTTCCCATCCCCAGCATTGCTGCCCGGGCCATGCCAGCCAGAGCTGGCGCACACACCTGGTCATAAAGTTCTTTGTCTCATGTGCAGGTGTCTTCTCTTCCCACACTGGACTGAAAGCTCCTCCAAAACAGAGCCAATGCCTGCTGCTTCTCGTGGATTTCCCAGAGCCTCCAGGTGCTGCCTGGCACCTGGTGATTAATGACATTCTCAGATTGATTAATGGATTGGTTCCTGTGACTGCACTTAGTTTAACATACTGTTAAATGGCCTCTATGAGAATTTACTGTTCTGAATAGGGGGTCAACCTAGCAGCAAACTTAGAATTGTACAAACTGTTTGTGGCCCCAAGTAAAAAATAAAAGCACATTTCTCTTTTTTCTAGAGTCCTGCTCTCCCGCACAGCAATCAAGTCAAGGGAGTGACTCTTTCACGAGCCAGTGGGAACATTCTCCACTTAGAGGGCAGAGCCAGGGTTCAAACCACCCTCCTTCAACTCAATGCCTTACATTCCTGGGTTCAGCCCCACCCTGAGGGAGGAACCTTCCAGAAGAAGAACCAAAAGCCGATCCCATCCAGGTCATGCTCTTTTCCTCTAACAGGGAAATCCAACTACTTCCCAGGAACATTGTTAAGCCACAGAACTAAAAAAAGCAAAATTCATACTCACAAGCACCGATGCCTTAGTTTTAAATTTCAGGACACCAGTTTTTCTGCAAATCTGCTCATTTCCTGCAAAGAGAAGAAAGGGACGGAGAATCATATTAGCATCTGCTCTGGGTATCCTCAGCAGTTTCCTGGCCGACCTCAGGCTTCTGCACCTTCTCTGTGTTCTCACTCCCAGCAGCACTCTCCCCTCCCCAGGCACACCGCATGCTAGTTGGGTGGGCGCCCCTCGCTCCTCGCAGGATCCCACCCCTCCAGGCCCATGGGCTCGGCCCACGCCGCCTCCCTCTCCCTCCCCGGCGCTGTGCCAGTCTCAGATTGACCACTGCCTCCAATTCCCTGAAGGCGCCCCGGCTTCTTCCCACTCCGGAGTGAGGCCTCCACTTCTGTAGCATGGGGTTGCCTAGCAACCCTGCGCGTGCAGCTCGGAAGGCCTTCCTAAATTGGACCTCACAGCACAGGGCATCTCCTTGTACAGCTGCCTGCATCTTAACAATCTGGCTCTGAATAATAACACAATGGTAATTGCATTCATGGACCCCAAACTACATTTAAATAATGTTCAAGAGCTGACACAAACCAACAAAGGCCAGAAAATGCATCGTGGAGGTTGACTGTGAGGCCAGGCAGGAACGTTCGGGGCGGGAGGGAGTTGACACCAAAGACTTGAGTTAATGACAACGCTAACCTGAACTGTGAATTCTCCTGCATTTCGCTTGAGTGTGTCACCACTGTAATGTGTTGTAATGTGAGTCTGGGCAATTAACGCCCAGAGGCAGTGATGCTTCAAGACAGAATGCCCTTTAGTTCTGCTGATGCATACGTGGATTTTTGGAGGGAGTCGGGAAGTGGGGAGCTCCTTGGACAGCAGGGGAGACTGTTCATGAGTGATTTTACTTGGCTCTAACAATCGTGACTAAATCCATTTTCAAAGGTGGGGGAAAGAACTTACCAAGCAAGGGCACAAAGCATTTGCTACCTCAGCGAGGGACAAATTCGACATGACTGATGCACTTCAGGATAAGAAGTGAAGGCAAAGAGGCCTTGACACTGGCCAAACGCAGACTGAGCAGCCTAGCTCGGAATGGGGAAAGGGGTGGGTGCGAGAGGCCAGCTTCGATCTGTGTCCCTGGCAGAGGATACTGTGCAGCTCTGCTCAAGAGAGGAGGGTCTTAGCACACAAGCAATGGCAAACTGGCAATCTGCTCCTTGTGGAGCCTTAGCAGCAAGGGCTGGCAGATCAGCCCTGATCATTTGAAAGCTAGAAGCATTTTGTTTTTAAGAAGCTCAATCCTCCTGCAAGGGTCTGGGGCAGATATCTGTACATCCACGCTCATCAGCATTGTTCACAATAGCCAAAAGACGGAGGCAAGCCAAACGTCTATAGGAAGAAGAATGGATAAACAAATATGGTATATACATGCAGAAGAATTTTATTTAGCCTTAAAGTGGAAGGAAATTCTGATACAGGCTACAGCATGGATGAACCTCCAGCCCATTATGCTAAGTGAAACAAGTCAGTCACAAAAACACAAATATTGTATGATTCCACAGGAAGTAGAAGGCTAGGCGTGGTGGCTCATGCTTGTAATCCCAGCACTTTGGGAGGCCGAGGCAGGCAGATCATGAGGTCAGGAGATCGAGACCATCCTGGCTAACACGGTGAAACCCTGTCTCTACTAAAAATAAACACACACAAAAATTTAGCAGGGCGTGGTGGCGGGCGCCTGTAGTCCCAGCTACTCGGTGGAGCTTGCAGTGAGTCGAGATGGTGCCACTGCACTCCAACCTGGGCAACAGGGCAAGACTCCACCTCAAAAAAAAAAAGACAGGAAGTAGAATGGTGGTTGCCAGGGCTGGGCAGGGAAAGGAGAATGAGGAGTTATTGTTTAATGAGGATAGAGCTTTGTTTGAAAAGATGAAAAAGTTCTAGGATGGATGGTGGTGATTGCACACTGGTGTGAATGTTTTCAATGAATTACACACTTAACAAATGGTTAAAATAAAAAACACCCTGCAACAATAGCACAGCATACACCTCCACACTGTTTCTCTGCAAGACTTCAGTCCATCTTCATTTTGGAAGTCAGAGTGGCCTGTGTCATTCACAAGCTTGGACAGGGAGACTCACTACGACCAAAGGACATAGTGGACAGTGTGACTGGCCAGGGAGCCTGTATTAGTCTATTCTCACACTGATAATAAAGACATGCTCGAGACTGGGTAATTTATAAAGGAGAGAGGTTTAATTGACTCACAGTTCTGCATGGCTGGGGAGGCCTCAGGAAACTTACAATCATGGTGGAGGGGGAAGCAAACACATCCTTCTTCACATAGTGGCAGCAAGGAGAAGTGCAGAATGAAGAGGAGGAAAAGCCCCTTTATAAAACCATCGGATCTCGTGAGAACTCACTCGCTACCACGAGAGAGGTATAGGGGAATCTGGCCCCATGATTCAATTATCTCCTACTGGGTCCCTCCCACAGAATTTGGGAATTACGGGAGTTACAATTCAAGATGAGATTTGGGTGGGGACACAGTCAAACACTATCAGAGCCCCTGGCTCGTAAGCATGGTGCTTGTGCAATGTGGCCTCAGACAGAGAGAGCGGTCTGAGAATTGAGAGACAGGATTCTCCTGTTCCCACCTCCTGAAATCCAAACACCATCACCTTTCAGAACTCAGCCTCCTTCCGCTTAACCAGTCCTATCCCTGTGTCCCCTGCCTGCTCTCCCCACTGGGAACCTGGGCTCTTATTACACTCTCATTGTTACCCTTTGTTCACCTCATGGCCCCTGCCTAGAAAGCCCCTTCCTGTGCCCACCATCTGACCTAATCTTGCTCTTTCTACTGGGTCCACATCAAAGTCCACCTCCCTCATCAAGCCTTCCAGATCCCTCCCAGTTGTACTTTCGCTGAATGCCACAACCTGTAATCAATCACTTGCTTAGGTACTATCCTATGTTCCTGTCTGAAAATCTGGTCTCTTCTAATAAGTCCCTGAAAGGAACCCTGAGCAATGATTATTGCTAACATTTTTTGTCTACTACAGGCTATAGCTCAGGGCTGAGCATACCACGGCTGCCAGATTGCCTTGCCTCCTTTCTCAGGGAATTCTAACCATAGCTCCCCTGCCTAGGGCACAAAGCATGACTGCTGGCTGCAGTGCCCTGGAGCTAAATATTCCAGGCGGATGTTCAGTTCCTTCCAGTCACTTAGAGGTGTAACTCAATGTGTGCAATAAACAATTGAGCATTTACAGATTTTATTAATTTGGAAAGGTCATTAGCGCTAACAGCTTCTCCAAGTGAGAGTGAATAAATAGCATGGGTAATTTTTTTCTATGCCCTGGATTTTTTTTTCTTGGAATGTACTTTAAGCCTAAAAAATAATGTTATAAGTAAAAAAGAAAAAATCCAGGCCTTGGAGACAGGGGGAGACTGACAGGAGTTCTGGACAAGCCTCATCCCCTCTGTCTTCCCATCTGCAAAACAAGGGGTGGTCTCAAAGTTTCTTCCAACTTAGGAAAATAAAATTATGATTCGATTTTAAGAATGTGAAATTAGCTAGTGACCTTCCAAGTTAGCAGTTACTGCCTCTCCCCCACCCATCCTTCCAGATGCCCCTCGCCTCTGGATAGATACGGCATGAGTTCATGCCTCTGCAGCCAGAACAAGGTTCTTAATCATTTCAGGTGCCTTCCCAGGCCCTGACCTGGGTGCTCTCAATCCCGACGACCTGGCTCGCCTTGCTCTCATTAGATCATTAAGGAATACTCAAGACTAATGACTTGTTTTCTCAAATCTCCAAAAATGGCTGGAAAGGGGCAGGAGGGCATCATCCAAGCTCTGTCTCTCCAGTCCTTGGCTCGGTGACCAGCCAGTGCTGTCTGTCAAGGGCTGGCCTCTGTGGGACAGATGCTCCTGGCTCTTCCCCACAGGCAAGAAATGGAAGCAGCATTCAGGGAGTGGAGTGGAGGGGCTCTGGCTGCAGCCTGCTGTTGTGGGGAGAAACACTTGGCCCTTGACCAGAGTGCTGTTCGCCAAGGCTTTTCCCGACATCCTTTTCTCTCCATATCCTCATCAGTCCCTCTTCTCTCTGCCTTGGGTGTGGGCAGATGCTGGGAAGATGGGAGTGCAATGTCTGTCTGTGACTGTGTGGCCACTCATGCCCCCACCTCCAGACTGCCTGGGATTATCAGGAGCAAGAAGACTGAGTGTGAATCAAGACTCTATAAGTAACAACATTAATACTAATCTTAACATTACCATTGATATTAATTATATGATGGTTTATGATTAAAGAAGTATTTTCCCATGTATGTATCAGGTAGGTAGAATAGATTCAACACATTTGTTGAGTACCTGCTGGGGATGCAGATAT